CCGATAAACTTTACCAGAAAAATGGTTGACAAGATATAATGATAAGAACTTGGTGGAAAGTGCTATAAAATGAACAAACTTTGTCAATAGGTATTGAACATGTGACTCCATGGTGATATATGGAGGTTTGAGAAACAACTATTTAAAACAAAATCATTTTTTAAAATAGAGTTCAAAAACATTTTCTCAAATCGTTTATATAGGCAACAAAAATTAAGAAAATGTGTAGAAAGTAAAAGAGTTAATGGAAAAGAGATAGCACTCAAGATTTATAGAGGTTTAGTATTAAGGAAGTGACTTACTCCTCTTTTCAAGAATAGATCCTGAGAGTATCTAATAATGCTTAAAAGATTTTATAAGGTTAAACCAATGAATCCCTTATACAAGAAAAAATAAAGTTTCAGGAAAACTTCTAACTAAACAACGAACAAAGGAGTGAATCGGCTAGTCTTCACACCAAACAGTGAACAATGATTCGAGCGGTTAATCTTTAAGACAAAGTAAGATTTTACACGGATTTATCTCAAACCAAGTTGGAGTTTTGAGTGAGCTATCTTTCGAACCGACCTACAGTTTTATACGGGCTGACCACGAACTGAACTGAGATTTTACACCGGGTTGATCTCAGAAAAAACTTAGATTTTGCATTGGGTTGATCATGAACCTAAGTGATATTTTGTATAGGTATAAGCTTAATAATCTATGTGTGAATATTTTTCTATGGTTATTGGTCACAGACCCAAAATGAAAGGTTTTCTTTAAGTGGCGGAGCTCACGAACCAAACATAGACTAAAGCTAATCCTCCAAAGAGATTTTACACAAATTTAGCTCCAAACCTAAACAATAACTTCCATGTGAAGAATAATTTATCAAGAGAAAAAATAACTCTTGGTAAATTTAAAATAATGGCTTTCCTAGAACAATTTCCTCACTAAACTCAATAACATTTTTCAAAGCGCTATGACTAAAAATATGTTTGAGAAATAAAAATAATTTAAAGATTGATAGAGAGGAAGGTGTGATATCTCACATTTTATGGATGTTTAAAAATGAAGGGTGAGGTCTCTATTTATAGGCCAAAGGATGGTTCAATTTTGGAAATAAATCTCGAGCAAAATTAATTGCCTAATAGATTAGGAACATGCAATAATTGATTATTACTACCCAAATTGGAAGGTTTTGATAGAGAATCATTAACTTTCATTAAAATACTACCATAATAAATTATGGACTTGTTTAGCATTCATATAATAGATTAGGCATTTCTTCTAATGGGTTAGATAGTTTAAGAAACTTGGTGTAGTCAATCTGACAGTTCCCAAATCATCTGGCTAAACTCCAAAAACATTTTAGGTGACCTTAATTGAAAAAGATGCTTTCAAAAAATAATTTTGTGTGTGTATGTGTGCGTGTGTGTGCGCGCGTGCGTGTGTATATGTGTGTATGTGTGTGCGCGTGTGTGCATGTGATGTGTGTGTGTGTTTGTACGTACGTGTGCACGTGTGTTCATATGTGTGTATGTGTATGCGTGTGTGTGTGTGTGTGTTTGTATGTGTGTATGTTTGTATGTGTGTGTGTGTCCGGTTGTGTTTTTTTGGTGCGTGCAAGCATGCGCACGCGCATGCGTGCATTTTAGCCATACTACTTACGAAAAACTCTCTTATGTTTTTTCAAAAGACTTATCACTCAACTAGGCACGATTAGGCGGACTTTCTCTCTTTCACACTCTGAAGCTTTAATTCATTTTGATGGATATGCCAATCATATAAGCACTTCGCTTGAATCTTCTTGTGGATGAGGCTTGAGATATCTTCAAGTCAGATGGCATAATCAGAGGATATTACTAGTGATCATAACACCCTAATTATCCAACTTTATTCATCTTGATTAGGAGGGAATAATGTGATCAAACACTTTGTGCATCTTTGAACACTTGACTAACTTTATTACTTGCTTGATGTCTTCAGGTGTTGTCATAAAAACACTTCAACTTTTTCAGGTGTTGTTATCATTAAAACTATGACATTGTATGGGTAATCATATCTTATTTATCTATGAGGCTTGATCACTTCCGAGTCATACCTGTAAGCATATAGTTCCACAACGGTCATAAATCACCAAAATTGCAGTGTGTCAAAATGATGAAGGTAAGTGAGTTATAAAATCCATTGAAATGGCTTCCTATACTTGTGTTGGAATATCTATTGGTTGTAGTAACCCTTGTTTCTTTGTTGGAAAATATTTATTATGTTGACAAACTGTGCAACACTTAATGAAACTTTTGACGCCTTTGTACACGCCAAACCAATTATCATAAGAAAAAATGTGAGCGAAAGATGGTTGGAGTCTTGAGTGGTTTGCAGTAGGTGTTGAATAAATGGCTTATCGTAGTTCTTGGATAGGTGGTATGTAGATTATGTCAACATGAAACATGAAAAAGGGTTGCATGTGTGGTTCTGAGTTATTTTTAAGCCTCAATTCTTGACCTTCTTTTTCTTTGTTGTAGTACTCCTTAAGTTGCGTCAACAGTAGTGAAACTTGATTTCCTTTCCCATATTTGTAAAATATTTCAAAACTGAAACCTTGTAGCTTCGAAGCTCACTGATGTTATTGTGGAGTATGAATTGTTTGTATCGAGAGATTTTTCAAACTCTTTTGATTTGTGAATATGTAAAAATTGTGAATCCCTAAATCCCCCTAAATTTTTTCTTTTCTTTTTAAAAAATATAATACATAGATTGTGAAATAATTATTTCATGTAATCAAACAAGGCATCATACTAACATAAACCTTATCATAAATGAGTACTTGATTAAAACATAAGGTCAAACATAATGATTTGAATAATATAAATTATGACCCCAATGTCACAATATCATAGCCTTATTACAAAATAAACGGACCGGCTAACTTAACAGTTCAACAAACATAAACATAAAGGAAACAATTGAAGTGGTCCTCTACACGATCTCCTATAAAGTACTACCATGTAACTACTCCTCAATCTCAAACTGAAAATAATCTACATATAGAGTCACATTGAAGAAACATAAAAACAAAGGGTGAAAATATATTATACAAAATACATGACAGAAGTATAATCACAAGCATACAACATTTACATGATCTTATGATATTACATATAATTATACATCATTACGCAACATACACATAAATGCTTATGCAATACACTTGTCCTCTACTCCAATGCATGTGGTACCATCACTGCAACATACACATAAATACTTATGCAATACACTTGTCCTCTGCTCCAATGAATTTGGTACCATCACTGAACTCATAGACTCTACAATGTCTAGGAGGACTTGTGAGCTTGGTACGCACTCCAACACTCTTTGCTAAACACTACTTCTAGGAATACATGCGAGCTACGCCCGTACTACGACACTCTACTAGACATCCGTAGACATGCAATGTCTAGGAGTACATGCAAGCTATGTCGTACTACACACTTTCTAGATGATACCTACTCTGATATAGTATGATGCATGATGACGTGACAACACATAATTTTCATCCGAACCTCCAAACCATATTTGAAACACTGATTACCACATTAGAGTTTTCACATGGTTTTTCACACATTTACTTCTTTTGAGCTTAATGTCCTTTTTTGTCCTGTATGGTAACCTAGGTGTTCATTTTGATCTCTTTACTTAAAAAATGTTCATATTGGTCTCTTAACTCTTCAAAACGTACCATGTTAGTCTTTTTATGTCTTATTAGCAACGAAAAAACTTAGAAAATTGTCGTTAAATTCGTCGCTAATTAGACAAAATGGGTTAACATTCTACATTTTGAAGAGAGAAGAGACCAATATGAATAATTTTTTAAATTAAAGGACAAAAATGAACACCTGAGTTAACATACGAGATCAAAAAGAATATTAAACTTAAACAATTGTCATGACAATCGATAGAGGTCAATATCAATATGGTAGTTCATGTTGGTCATAGTGGTGACCAAAGTGGTAGATGGTAGTATCCGTATTAGAGATCATAGATAAACAAAGTGGTGGTCCGAGGTGATCACCGATGATCAGAATAATGGTTGGCGATGGTTGTAGTGGTAGTTAAAATAATAGTTCTAATAGTGGTCGATGGTGGTTGGTGGTCATTGTATCGATAGTCAATCATCGCCATAATAGTATAATAATAATTGAAATCATGGTTAGTAACCTTCGGTAGTTGTGTCTTAACTTTAAAATAAAATTTTAAAATGCTTTTTTTCAAAGTTTTAGAAAAAAATTGTCTTGATATTAAAAAGAAAAATCAAACCAACTCCATCTTTGCCAAATAGATTTTAGTTTTGAAATTGATTTTCAAACCTAAAAAGTGACAACCACCTCAAACAAGTTATATGTGTTTAGTTTTCACAATTTTTAATTAAAATATACATTTCAAAAATGATTTTTTTTAAAATTAAATAACCAAACAATTTTTATTAAAAATTTTAAAAAGTTATTTTATAAAAATAAATCAAACAAATCATTAATTTATAGTCCTTCCTATCACTATTATACATAAAAAGTATTAAACAATTGATGTACATAGTCTATAATATATATCAAATACATAAGTTATTTAATGAATGTGAAAAATAAATTTTTTTATTTAAAATAATAGTGATCAAAATAAATATAAAATAAGTTTTTTTAACTTATAATAATAATAATAATAAAAAAAAGCAACATAGAAGGAATTTTTGCTTTACAAAAAGAAAGGTAAAATTTAAATTTTTTTGATCAAATAAAAATCAAATCTGTATTTAGACCAAAATATTTCGAAGTCTCAACCATATAAGTATCACTATTATTAAAAACAATACAATATCCTAAAACAAGTCCAGATTCAATGTATATATTAGACCAAATAAGGACAAAATGCTTATACTTTTCTTCCGATTTTTCCTTTAAAATACTCCACACAAGAAACCATTTTCGTCATTGATTTTTACAAACTCTAACAACAGAACAAACATGGGAGACATAGATCCAGCTTTTGTTCAAGAACAAGAACACAGACCAAAACTATCCATCATCGAAGCCGAAGGAATTCCCGAAATTGACCTCTCTCCATTATTCCACCACGAAGCTCCAAATCCATCTGCTATTGAAGGCTTAGTGAAGGAAATTGGAAGTGCATGCAAGGAGTGGGGATTCTTTCAAGTCACAAACCATGGAGTCCCTTTGAGTCTTAGGAAGAAACTCGAGGAAGCTTCTAGATTGTTCTTTGCTCAGAGTTTGGAGGAGAAGAAGAAGGTTGCAAGAGACGCAATCAATCCTACTGGTTATTATGACACAGAACACACCAAAAATGTTAGAGACTGGAAAGAAGTGTTTGATTTTATCTCCCAAGACCCTACCTTGGTTCCTGTTACTTCTGAGGAACACGATGATCGAGTTACTCAATGGACCAATCCATCCCCTCAATATCCTCCACAATTCAGGTACCTATTTCATATAATTTGTGTATTTGAATTAGATCCAATCTTAAAACTGATGTGAATATGAACAGCGCAATAATTGAAGAGTATATTCAAGAGGTGGAAAAGTTGGCCTACAAGTTGCTTGAGCTAATAGCTCTTAGCTTAGGAGTTGAAGCAAAGAGGTTTGAAGAATTCTTCAAGGATCAAACAAGCTTTATTAGATTCAACCACTATCCTCCATGCCCTTCCCCTCACCTTGCTCTTGGCGTTGGGCGACACAAAGATGCCGGTGCGTTAACTATTCTTGCTCAAGATGAGGTTGGAGGACTTGAAGTGAAGCGAAAATCGGATCAAGAATGGGTTCTTGTGAAACCTACTCCCGATGCTTACATTATCAACGTTGGTGATATCATTCAGGTACTTTTGCTCTAATTCATCTGTTTTGTTTCTATGAATCACGGATACACACAGACATTTGTTTGATGAATGAAGTTGTATTCTCTGTGCAGGTGTGGAGCAATGATGCATATGAGAGTGTGGAACATAGAGTAATGGTTAACTCTGAGAGAGAAAGGTTTTCAATTCCCTTCTTTTTCTTCCCTGCGCATTACACTGAAGTGAAACCTTTGGAGGAGTTAACAAATGAGGAAAACCTTCCAAAGTATAGGCCTTACAACTGGGGCAAGTTTCTTGTGACCAGAAAGGGTAGCAATTTTGCGAAGAAAAAAGTGGAGAACATTCAGATTTATCATTATAAGATAGCTTAAAAGATAGTATAGTAGAAGTATAACTTAGCTAGTGCATATAAATAAATTGAATAATATGTTGGAGGAAATTGCTGTGTATGAGTATTGAACAAATAACCTCTATCCTCTATGATACATGTTCCCTTTCAAAAATAAATAAAAAATTTGTTTATTTTCAATAATTAGCATTCTCTGTCATCATTTGTTTAATTTAACTTGCTCAATGCTTTATCTTGGAGGTAACGCATAATTTTCACCCCATTCTGTTCTTGTCGTTGATGTGAGGCAAATGGGGATCAATATTTATGCATAGTAAAATAAAAAACGGTTAGATGAAAAATAAAGCGATATGGAGCTGTCAAGATTCTTTTATCGGTGGAATTTTTGTTGGGATGCTGAGTCTGATACCAATAAACTATGTACATTATTTGCAAACATTTGGATTCATTTATCTGCCAAATTTCAATCGTTTTCAAAGAATTGTATGTGGAACACGCAAACAAATTCATTCCTATTTTCCAACAAAAATTAATCTTTTCAATACTTCAGAAAATTTATACATTATTGTAGTTTAACATCTATTGGCATCGTTCAAAAATATCTTATATATCAGAGCTAACTCTAATAGAGTTAGTGTCAGGATGGGTATTGAAGTTTTTTTTATAAGCAAATAGGATTAATTAAAACGACGGCACAAGTGGTGCACAATCCTTACAACAAAACACACAATACAAACCAACGGAAAAATCAATCGAAAACCAAAACAAATAAAAAGAATGAACCACCCCTCTAACCCGCATCAACCAAAGATGGAGACACACACCAATTCACTCAAGATTGCGAACAAACCACAACCTTACCAACATTGATTCAATCCCACACCAATCTCTTAATCATCCTCAAACCTTCGAACTTGACTAGAGATCCTCCATCGAAAATAATTGAGTTCCTACAAAACCAAATTGTCCAGCAAATAGTAAGGTCAACTGACCACCCGAGCTTCGCCTTAAACTTCAAATTAACTGCCACCTCAAGCTCCTAAATCTTATTAATGGTACTCATTGAATCTACATTAAGATCAATATGCAGCCAATCTAGAGCTTGAATCCACCAAACCATCGAAACAAAACAAGAACCAAAAAGATGTTACAAATCCTCGATCTTTCCATTGCAATGCGGACAAATTAAATTAGAAATGCCGATCAGCACGCCGTGACGCTCAAGGCTAAATCTAGTAGGAAGGCGATTCAACACTAATCTCCAACCAAAAAATAAGCAATTTACTAAGAACCTTCGACTGCCATAAGCCCCGCAGCGACTCCAACACTTCCGCATCTAAAGAGTGACTAATAAGACAGCAATAAGCTATCCTACTATGTTGTTGAAGTTTTTCTTTAGTTTTATATTAATAGGTTTCAAAATTTTATTCTTTGAAGTAACTTTTAAGGATGAAATTTAATTCATATTTAACAAGATATCAAAGTTGCGTTAACAATTGTAACGTATGAGATTCAATATAGGAATTGGACTCAACGTGAGAATTGTACTTAGACCCACGTTAGGCGTGATGGTGAGTATTAAAGTTGTTTTCATAGAGTTGTGTTAACAATTGTAATGTATGAGATTTAATATAGACATTGGACTCAACGTGAGAATTGTACTTAGACTCACGCTAGGCGTGATGGTGAGTATTAAAGTTGTTTTCATAGAATTGCGTTAACAATTGTAATGTATGAAATTCAATATAAGAATTGGACTCAATGTGAGAATTGTACTTAGACCCACGCTAGACGTGATGATGAGTATTAAAGTTGTTTTCATATGATTGAAATATGTTTAGAATCTTATATTGCTTATGTTTTCGGATTGTTTAATGTATATATGTATTTAAACAACCTCATCATTTTAATTAGCTTTTGGAGATGAGACTCAAACACAATTAAATACATTTAATTTATTATCAAAGTTGGGTTAGGTGTTAAACATATAAATATGTGAGATAACCTCACAATTTAAGTTAATTTTTGGGTGAGATCCAAACACATTTAACTTAACAAACATCATGTTCACCTTTGACTACGCTAGAAGGTTTTGCATGTTGAGCAAGAGAAACATTCATTTTGACTAACCATGCGTTTAAATATTGTTGAATTAAGTAATTAATTAATTAGAGATTTACACAATTGATTATTTATGAATTATATTATGATTAACTATTATTAAACACTAATTAATTGATAAAATGTTTGATTGAATTTTGTGTATGAATGAATCGTGATTGATTTGATCATTCATTTAGACCTTATTTAGAAGTTTGGAGGAAAAGAGACATAAAATCTTTGAAAAAATAGAGAAGAGAAGAAGGGAAGATTTCGATATTTTTTTTTTAAAGAAAAAATGATAAACCTTCAAGAAAGAATAATTTTATATAATAATAAAAGAGTGTTTAACTGTTAATCATTAATCTATTTTTATTTTTGAAACCTTAACAACATTGATTATATTTAAAATTTTTGTTTAAGTCCTAAAAAAGTCTTCAAACCCTCCTCTAATATAACTTTTAATCCTTCAAATTAAAGAGATTTTGGTTTTTAAATAGAAATAAATCCGTAATTCATCTTTATAACCATTGTTTGAGCCTTGAGGCTTGCCCTGACCTAGACGAAATTTCGAAGTCCAACTCATATAAACTTTTCCGGAAAAAAAATTCCTCTATTATTTTTATTTAGTTCTTCCATTTTTCTTTTCAAAGTCATCACTTTCGTTCATCCTCCAAATACCTAAACAAAGTCTTAAGATCAATGAAAAATCTCTACATTTATCTATTTAAATGTTGTATAAATATATAAGCAATAATGAGGGTAACCTCTTCTCATCCTTACTTTTTTCAATTCTTATTAATCTACTATTTATATGCAATTTAAATCTTTCAAATACAAATTGTAGGAGAAGTAGAAAATATTCTAATAAGCATAAAAGCCATTCAATACACAATGTTTTCTTCAATATAAAAAGATATAAAAAGAGTGTAGAAGTTCATAAATCTTTCTTTCCAAGGGCAGCAAATAGAGTAAATTAGGTAGCTTTTTTTATTGGTGATTAAGGTGTGCCTATATGTATTGTTTGGTTAAATTCTCTTGACTCTCAAGATAAAATAAGAGAACTTTTTATTACACCCAAGGTGTTTCTAATGCACCGTGTGAATGTTTACATATGCTCCTTAATTTTGAAGATACGCCTCCAAACGCACCCCAACACACACTCAACAAAAGTCATTCTAAACTATGTCCTTTCTTTTGGTTTAATTTATTCTAGAGATGCATCTCCAGATTCATTCCGTAATTACATCTCCGGACGCTCCCAACATCCACTCAATAATGGTCATTCTGAACTACGCCCTTTCTTTTGATTTAATTTACTCTGGAGATGCATATCTAAAATAAATCCGTAGTTACATCTCCGAATTCACACCAGAAACAGATTCAACAGATCTAAAATGAAATTGACATTTATAACATAAAATGATCATTACAATGATGATTTCAAGAGAAAATTGAATATTACATTTTAATATCCCGATGGACGCTTGCACATCTCCAGGATATCTTCGAGCGATCTGTGTATCGTGGCTTCCAACTCGAGCATAACTTTCTCTTAGAAACCGAAAAACGTATCCCACATAGCCCTAACATCTGCTTGCTGCTTGAGCTCAAACTTGGTGAACCGAATATTTCCTCCGTTGTCAATTGAAGGTGAATGCTACTCGAGCTTCAAAATCTTTTGGTTTTCTTTGTAAGGTAGGAGATGATGGATTTCATCTTTGATATCTTCGAGAGAGGTGTACTCGGTGAGCTTAAACGTTCACCCAGGTGTAGAGCCAGAGAATGACACATTTGCGACATACCAATAGATTTTTATTTGTGACATTATGAGTTTGTGTGGAATATAGCACTAGATCACCTAAGTTTACAGAAGACAAAGATCAGTTTGGACAATTCATTAACTGACACATTGATTCCAGAGATATATCTCCGGAAACGTCCCCTATTATCTTGTTCTGGAGATGAATCTTCAGAACTTCTCCTGAACTTGAACCACACCAGAGCCGTATAACAAAACCATTTTTTTCCAATTAAAAAACCATAAATGTTGTAATGGGGAATATAAAAACAACATAAAGACAAAATATGAAGAAAAAAGTGAATATATAACATTTCATTTATATTGAGACACAATTACATACAATTATTTGTCTGGTTAAACAAAAAATCAAAACGAATCAAAACATATATCACCGGCTAAATCTATAGGTGGTATCCCTTTAGAATTTTGTGCATTCGATTCTTTTTCAACGTTGTTAAATCTCTTGAATTCTTACATTCTTTCCATAAAATGATTTGGTCACATCTCAGCTATTGCGAGTGAATGAGCCGTCCACTCCAATGATGTAAGTGGCATGAGGCATTTCGATTTTAAGTAAACTTGAACAAAATGACTTGATTTTAAAAGTCATCCATTACACATGATACGATCATTTGGATTTTGAGGTGGGTGGTGCGTAGTGGGAAAACAATTTTTGAAAAACCGTAGCGTGTCAGATCAATACACACTCTATCATATGCATATGATATTAGGTGATCCATATTAGAGAAGTTCATCCATTTTTCCTCCGGTACCTGATCGCTCAAGCAAGGAACAAGAGACTTATAAACCACATTTAATTTTTCTTTATTTCCGTACAACCGCGAGTGTGATTCTTTATGCGTCTTCAACTCTTGGATAAGTTGATGCCCGACAATTACATGACTATATTCTCCTTTGTTAGAAAAAGATTTGGTTCTGGTGGTTATCTCTAAGTTTTGATAATAACAAGGTAGTATTTGTGTGAAATTTTTTTGGGTACTCTAACGATTTATTATTCTGAAGTTTTAACAAACAGGTTCTGACTCTGATAGAGACCATATGCAACATATTCTAGTATGACAAAATTCGCTTCTGCACCAAAGAAGCAAGTCTGCTTC